AATAACTCTCTACTAATCATTTGCATTTAACGCGATTCTGAAACTCATTCTGGTAAGGAATTGTAATCTGAAATTAGAAGGAATTGGAAAGTGTGACAGACTTAAAATAATTGTTATAAACTTGGATAAATCTTACAGATTAAATTAGCTATTTAATTTTGACTTATTTCGAGCCTTTCCTCCCATCTTTTCTTAGGGCTAATCTAAAGGTTTGAAAATTGTTTAGGAGTTAATTAAAGTAGTCATGATTTAAACATTGAATATCTAATAATAGTTTATGTTATGTAAGAAAAATTTGGAATTCGCGACATAACATTTAGATCAATATGCGTGACTACGATATCTTATGATTTACTAGCTAAATTACTTTTAGCATTTAAGGCTATATCTTATATCTTTATTATATGCGGCTTAAGTGTCTGTTTGTCGCCGATAGTTTATTGGTTGCTTGCGTAACTGTACTAGCCAATGGGGTGAAATTGCCACGGCATTCAAATAGTCTATATACACTGATACCATACCAGATCTTTTACAAAGTTATCATTGTTTTAATTAAATTATCATGGTATTTAAGAATATTTAGATATTTTTAATTCAAACAACTGTTGCTTATTATGCATTTAACTATTATTTAGATACGAATTACCTAGAAACTTGCAAACGCTGAGAAGTTAAAGGAGACGAAACCAAGTAACGAGATGTGCGTAGTACATCTCATCAGGTAGGTTTACCCAAACTCCTATGCTAAATATTCTTTCGCGTAAAGAGTTTAAAATTTTGCCCGATTTTATTCCGACATTGTATTTTAAACTGAATTTACAGCTGAACGCAAATTGAGCGTGTCAGGGGTAACGTGAACATTTGTTTGCATTAGCAATCATCTGTTTTTGAAATGGTTTACAACCGAACGCAAGAGTTCGTGAGTTTCTGTTCAAGAGTTCGTGAATGAAGAGACGTAAAATTAAAAATAATTGATGGTCCTCTGCAAGGCTAGCTGAAAAATGATGAAAAGATCTACACAAGAAATGTTGTCTACAAAGAGATCTTTGACATGTGAATTAACATTTTGTTATTTAAATCACCTTTATTTATTGAGCTAGCGGTGGGCACCGCTAGCTCAATATGTACCGCCAGTGGTTTCCTTCACTGCACTCTACTTTAAGAAATTAAGCAAGTAGAAGGGGGAAACCCCGTGGGGCGGTAAGCAAAGAAGCGTCCTCGCCGCCTGCCCTGGGTAATTCAGTTTGAGTTAGCAGACACCTTTGCATAAATCATTTTAATATCGAACGCATTTTAGTGTCCATAGAAGATGAATATAGATAATCAGTACAAACGCGCCGTGCTACATTTTTTATTTTCGTGTGGTGAATCTGCCAGGTTTGCAGCGATAAAAATTAATAGTGTACATGGGGAACACACTATTAGTGTAAGGACTGCCAGAAATGGTTTAAAAAGTTTAAAGTTGAAAAAAGCAGCATTGATGATGAACCCCGTTCAGGATGTTCTGTTAATTTTGATGATGACATTCTTCGATATCTCGTAAAGCCACAATTAACAGTGGATCAGATAACAGAAAGGATGAATTCATCTCATGGAACAGTCTTTCGTCATTTAAAGAAGATTGGGAAAGTATCCAAGCTTGGAAAGTGGGTGAATATCAAGAAAGTGTTGTTTGATCATGATAACGCTAGACAGTATGCGGCTCGAACAACGCTGCAAAAAAATTAGTGAATTTAATTGGGAGCTTTTGCCACATCCTGCTTACTCCCCAGATATTGCCCCAAGTGATTTTCACTTATTTCGTGCCTTACAAAATTTTTTACTGGGAAAAAATTAAATTCTAAACAGGATGTACACAATGAACCTTCAAGTTTTTTGCATCAAAACCAGAGCCTTTCTACAGCAATGGCAGAAAAAAGCTGCCTGTAAGATGTTGAGACATTGTAGATAATGGAGGAAAATATATAATTAATTAAAATGTTAAATTGTATTTTTTATATTATTTAAAAATTTATCAAAAAACGCGTACGAATTTATGGACTGACCCGTTACTTACTGCATTATCGTAGAAAAGTAGTCAAGATTCTCCTTTAGGGAATTCCTCTGAATTCTCCTTTAGGAGAAAAATTGGCATTGTTCCAGACTACGATAATGCAAGATCGCATGTCATTCAACGAATGTGGTATGTAATGTAGTAGTAACGAATGTAGTAGTAATCCGTAGAATAAAATTTGATTAAGAATCTTGACTATCCGTTTGATTGAGAAACCGAAATCACAGTAAGAACATTTTTACTTCGAAATTGGCATTAACGAGCAACAAAAACATAATGTTCGATCAATTTAACATAAGGAATATTGGAATATTCATCTAGTTAATTCTAGAACGTAAAATATAAATTTAGATTTTTTAAGAAGAAGGCATTTACGTAATCCAAATATTAAATAAAATAAAAATACTGAAATAAGCTTTACGTTTTGTCTAAACTGAGCTCTGAAGTAACAAATCATTTGCAGTAAACCGAAAATATGGCAATGTAAAACACGTATACATACAGACAACCCCCTAACATGTTTAGAGTACTGGAAAAATGTGGTAAGCAGTATTTTATTGAATATTTATTTCAAACGCATACCCCAATTACAATGTTTTTCAAAATAAGAGTGTATTTTAAGGAAATAGCTTCAATACTTAAGAAGTTCTATTTAGCTTTCTATATGTTGCTCAAAGAAAACAAAATTCCAATTAATAAAATATTTCTTATGCCGTAATTGGTTAAAAAAGAAATGCTTCTAAAGTTAGCTCATTTCTATAATAATCAACCATATACAAATGAGAATAATGAGGAAATATTATAATAATGCATAATTTATTGATGAAACAAATATTTTAAATAAAGCGGCCCAGAAGAGCTTAAAAATAAAAGCAAGAATGAAAAAGTATTTTAATGTACGATATTAAAAAGGTTACATACATTCTAATGTTATTTATCAACATAGTTACTTTCCCAATTCAAACAATTACTATACCCCGTCACGAGTTACTATATGACATTGTCACAGAAGCGTACTCCTTGTCATTAAAGTTGTCATACGATCTGAAGGTAATAATAAATTTTCACACACTGTCTTGCACAACCTTTCTTGTCAAGAACAGATGTACGCTTTTCTTAAAACTGATACCGTTTTCTCACAACATGTTATTTAGGCAGTTGTTTTTATAAGCATTAAGGAATGCGAAATGAATTTCAGGAGCATTTCGCCTTTCATTTGTGAAGAAATTCAATAATAATTATACTTTCAATAATAAGCATACTTTCCTTCATAAAGCGAATCTTCATTTACTGCAACGAATCCATTATATACCTTTGCAAACAAACTGTAGCAAAAGGAATAAAGTAATACTATTGAGATAAATGGCAAAATGTGATATTTAACAATTTTACACTGCTTAAATGGGAATTAATGCAATTAACGTAAATTACTAATTGTAATTTCAAAGTAATATCATGCAGTTTGAGTTAAAATACTCTAAGTTCAAATGATTCAAAATTAAATTTTATAGATTTTTCTATAATGCATATGTGTGTTGTGTAAAAAGTCATCATATCAGTTGATGTTATGTTCTTGAACATAGGCTTAAACTTTAACGACTGAACGTTTTCAACTCTATTTGCATCCTACATATTTCATCTCTCTATCCAAGCAAGACAATATAACAGATTTAATTAAAATTAGATTGGAAGTCTTCAAAAACGGGCTTAATTAGTTAAAAATAAGTAAATTGTTAGCTTATTTTTATGTTAGCCATGGGGAAGACCCATGGAGATGCCCCTGTACATATTTTTTTCCAAGAACTGAAATCCCGACGAAACTAGGAATCTTTGGCTGTTTAGTTATTTTGCAGTGGCTGTTCGCAGACCCCAAACCTTTTTTCATACGTAAGCTAATTTTCTTTGCTTGGCGAGTGAGAAAACATGAATGTTAAATTTAAAAATTATAGCAAACTCATATGTAAACAGTGCGAAGCGATTATTCCGCTATCGAACAGACAGTATACGGAGTTTAAATATTTTTGTTAACTACTAAAGCTTTAAGATTTATAAAAATATCGGTTATCTATGCTAGGGGTATCCAGAAACCCCTATAGCGACAATGTTAAATTGGCCATTTTCGATATACCTTTTCTCAAACTCTGCTGTAGATACACGCTTGAAATTTTTTGTGTAATTAAAGTATACCTATCTGATTATACTGAAATGAGCTTTTGAAACATTTTAATTTTTAGAGTAATTTACAGAATATTTTGTTAGGCATAGTAAAATTTAGCACTTTTCTCACACAAAAAACTTTTTTTTAATTTTTTATTCTACGTTTATCACAAAAAGCTCATTTCAGTAAATATTAGGAAACCTAATAAATAAGCCATAAAAATTTTAGATACCTGTGAGCAGTAGTTCCTGAGAAAAGGTACATCGAGTATAAAAAAATCATGTTTGGAGAAAAAACGTGTTTTTATGTAAAAATCCTCATTGATCAAAGCAGTCGATGACATATTAAAACTAGATTTTGTACAGTTCTAATTTTCATAGAGATTAAAGAATGGTATTTTTAGAAAGATAAAAGTGTAGAGAATTTGAAAATGCAAAAATCCGAAATCACAATTTTTTGAAGATTTTGGGGTTCCGACAACCCTTAAGTTCTGTCAGCTATATTTATTACATTTATTAATGAAAATGAAATAGTGACTAAACATCAGTATGAAGGATGTCTATTGTTTTCAGATTGCTCAGTTTGTTACACTAATATGCAACGCATTGTTATAATTCAAAAAATAAATATGTGCTATACTGTGAGACTTCTTAGAGCTTTCAGACTGACAGTTTAACAAAGACGATGAAGAAATAATGCTTTAAAAGCATAATTTAACATGACGGACAGTTAACGTAACGCGAAAAAAGAAAGAAAAGTTAAAAGGTATTTTCTCCCTCCTTTCCGCATGCCTTTGTGGTGTAATTGGAAGCACACTCGACGCCTATTCGAGAGATCCAGGGTTCGAATCCCGGGGAGGGCTTTGCTATTTTTCACGTCTCCTGCTTCAAAAATCCTAATGACTCTACAGCGTCGCCCGAACTAAAAGGTGGTGGACGATAATTTGCTCCCATCAGGGATTGGCGAATGGTCCCTGAATTCCCCGTTGCCCTTTATTATTACCGTATTTATTCATGGTGTAATTGGAAACATACTTGACTCGTATTTGAGAGGTCCAAGGTTCGAATCCCGGCTAGGTAACAGCCCATTTTTCACCTCTTTTACTCAAATAATAATAATAATAATAATAATAATAATGACTCTGTAAAGTTTCTGGTGTATAATAAAGGTAAATTTATTTATCATTCTTTACCAAAAAAAAAAAAAAAAAAAAAATCCTTTCTGGTAACAAAAAGGACAACAGAATTTCAAAGCAATTGTCTATTTCCATTTACTAAATAATCTCTATAAATGCATTTTTACATTAGTCCCTGAAAATTTAATTATTGCTATTAGTATTTCTCAACAATAAAATAGTGATAAATCTTTACAACCGATACCGTTACGTAAACCGATTTTTAACCGCAATAAACCCCGAAGACATTTTCGAAACAACTCTTCTCGATGCTATCGAGGCACACCTGATAATACTGACTTATATGACCTCAAACAATTAAAAATCAACAAAGTAAAGTGTTCTAGGAGAAATAATTAGAGCAAATCCTAATTCTAATCGAACATTTGCCTATTGTATTTGCCCATAAAACAAACCACTGCCAAAGAGGAAATCTAGGTCTTCAATTAACTCTTGCCAAAAGTGAACACTTAACATGAACAAGGGGAGGAGAAGTTTGATTGGGTTGTACTTACCTATTTAAGCACGTCAAGAGAGATGCTTGTGCACTAGATCTTGAGAAGATTGTTTGTTTTACTGCAGTTTTTTAAAACTTCTGCTCCTTAATGGTACTTGACTTTTCAACTCCTGTGGAGCGTATCAATTTGTAGCGTTTAAAATATAGAGCATTTAAAACGTAATATACTTTCTATCTACATTGCGAAATACATCTGACGTTTCAACAATACAAATTTGAACTATAAAGTTCTACTTATAGGTGGATGTTTTTGAATATGTCTAGTGGAAAACCTTTTGAAGCCTGGACAAACTGAGAAAAACTTTAGGTACATCGTATAGCTAGGAAATAACATCAAACCTTTAAAAACGTGTTGGATATGTTATGATACTCAGTCATCAAAGAAAGAATACTGGGTTGTTACAACGTTACTCCAAAAATATATTTCCGACACACAGTTCCGCGTGCTGCAGATAAAAATGTTTTATTTCCTCCGTAGAGTGTTGCCATTGCTCGCTTTTAAATCTTTGAGTTTGTTACTCAAAAATTCGTTAAAGTTTTACAAATATGAAATCGATTATAAAACAAATTCCAGATTTCAAATTTGGTCTTCCACATGCTCATATTCGTAGGAGGATTACGTCCTTCAAAATTCGATGGCTGTAGATACCGTCGTTTTATCACAATGCGTGAAATATACCTACATTTATGCAGATTTTTCATTATTTAATTTCTTAAAATATAATGCAGGACTCTTAACATTTGGTGGCGACAGTTTGAAAAGTGAAACGGACATTTATAGTGATTCAATGCAAAATCGCAAAACGAAAACAATAGTCCTTCAGGGATAAAGCCAACTTTGGACTAAAAACGTTTAATTAATAGTAAAAAAAAATTAATTATAAAAGATCGGGAATCTCTTTTTAATGAAAAACAGATTTAAGACTACAGTTATTAAAAATTGAGCAATATTTATTAAGAAGTGACAAACGAAATTTAGTAAACGAAGCGCACAATTAAAGCTCTTTTATCTTGTACGTTTCTTAATATCAGTTGGCAATTATTATTTGAGTAGTAGTTCAAGGACTTTACATTTCTCAGAATTTTTTGAATCAAAGAAAGCAGTTGTATAGGGGGTATACTATTTCAACAGTTAACATGGGTAAGTGCTAAACATAAAATGCTAAATGTTTCCTGGAAAATTAAGAAAAATCAAGAGTGGTTCTGCAAAAGTTCGTAGAAATATTACGTATGGAGCAATATAAAAAGCAGAAGCTTTTAATAGATATTTTTATTTATGAAAATTTGCATTCGAACTCACTCTTAGTCTAACCTATTTGGATTTTTATCAGCTATGATGTTGGATATGTTATGATATTGAATATGCTGAATAGTTTTTCAGAGATTATTGCTGATAGTGGTGTCATCAAAAACGTTTTCGAGAACTTCAGCAAATTTTGCCTCTTTTGAAATGAGCATTTATTTTGGGCTTTACTAAAATTACTTTTCCTAAGTTTTAAATTTAAATGAGTTTGGTCATATTTCAAGATTCTGACTGACAGAAATAACATTATTTAATAAATATTTGAGTTTTGAATAAATATTTGAGTTTCAACTTTGAACTCTTTTTCAAGATTCATGAATTCAAAGTTCGTATGTCCCATCCCTGCTCACAGTTCTCAATATGTTATAGCGTACTTAAATATTGAAATATGATGAGGTAAAGTAAACAAATAGAACAGAGTACATACGTAAATGAGAAGTTTTGTGACTGCTAAAACGAGTTTTGTGAAGTCTTGAAGGGAAATCGGATGTCTGTCGTATGGTCTATCGTATTTCTATCGATGTCAGTCATATAGTCTTTCGGTGGTTATATCTTGAACAAATAAGAGATGAAAATTATGTCGGATGTAAACATTAATATCTCCAACCAACCTGAAGCAAGAATCGAATACTATTTCGAATTTTTATTTTTCCTCATAAATGTAGGAAACTTTGAAGCCTACGAAGAAAAGTATAATAAAATTGTCAGACATTTCTTAGTGTTTTATTTAGAATATTCAGATGAGCTTAATAACTTCACTATTTTAAAATCCGAGCAATTTTTTCCCCAAGGATACTCTGTTTGTGAATTTTACTGTCCGTGAAATCCAGTCTTCTTATTGCATTCCTTATTAGAAAAAGGATTCTTATCCTGCTAATTTTATTATTAGGAAATTAGAAGGATATGCACTATACCGCAATAACGTGCTTGGAAAAATCCCAGAAAATTTTGACGATTTTAGTAGAATAGAGCACATTTAATATCATCTGTTACAAGCTTCGTAAAAAAGTGAAATAAATGGCATTTTCCCTTTGATATCAAAGTTTCTCATTTTGTTTCAAGCGAATTAGAATGCATCACGAAGACATTAATTCCATTGTTAAAAACATCTTGGGTTAATCTTGCATAAAATAATTCTTTTGTAGGTTGTGGAGATTTATTATGTATATTACTTGAAATGTCTTCTTATAGAAAAATAATGTAAAGTGTTATTTGCGGATCCGTTTGAATAAATTTAAATTTTTTTCTGTCATATATCTTCGTCTGTAACACTAGAGTCTGAAGCAAAGAATTGTCTGAGGTAATGAATTCAGTTTAGAATAAAGAAAGTTGTTATGAAACTAGTGTTTGAAAAATCAATGACGCATTTATTTTCTCAAAAGCTATACTTAGTTACTGTCTCGTAAGATGTAATTGGTTCAAAGTCCGGAAATAGACGAATGTATTGAAATACAACTTAAACCGTGTCTTTCAAAAAACAATTATTTGCATATCATTGTAAATTAATGGAGCAGAATAATACTTATTAGAATGAATTGTTTGTTTAAACAAATGTCAGAACTAACTAGATAAATGTATTGATATCTATATGTCAAATATTTGGGATAAATATATTTGCCTGTTTTAATTAGATAAATGCATCACTATTTGCCCATGCGTAAGTGTTAGTAATTTGGCTTATATTTTGCAAGCCACAACGAATTGCCGTTATTTTAGAAGTACGATTGAAAAAAAAACTTCCGTGATCGTTAGCCAAACTATGTTAAACAATATGTACTGTATTAAATAATATTAATTTTCTTCTTTAAAATTCGACGAAAAGTTAGAGTATAAGAGAAAACTACAGCTAATGACAAGTGACATTGTTTTGAAAGAATAAATAATTAATATGAAGTATAAAAATTACTGCATTCTTAGTGAACCTGCTTCCCTGAACACGCGTACATGATCGAAATTCAAGTATTGGCTGCATAAAGGTGAGTACATGTGGTCAAAGCGGCAAGATTGTTTGTTATTTTATTTCTCTCTGAAATCCACTGCTAACACCAGAGTCGGCATTTGAAAAGAATTAGTTAAAAGAAACTGTAACGACGATATCACTATATCTTTCTAAATTACCTGGTGAAAGCACGCTTCCGAATTTTCATAGATGCTTTCAAGATTCACGAGAGGATTTAAATGTGCTGGGCTTTAAAAGTAAAGAAATTTTCATATTTGGTAGATTATGAAGAAAGCTGCTCGACAGATTTCAATGAAATCTGCCATGGACATAAGTTACAAATTATATAATAGTCATGGTATACATGCATGACCGTGTATGAGGTTCATTGGCGAAAAAAGGCCTAAAGCAGAGTTTACAACATCGAGCCAAAAAAGGAGGCTAATAGTTCCCTCTAACAGCCATAAAGCTCTCACATGTCTTTATACTGGAAATAAAACGGTTGATGTTCTCAGCGGCAGACGTACCACTACTGCAGCAATGTTCATTTTAAGTTCTGGATGGTTCTGGAAGAAGGAAGATAAAGTTATGGATGCCCTTTCAAGAATAAATTGAGTGTCAACTGCCCCTTGAAAAGGCATGAACCCTAAGATCTCTTCCCTATACATTGCAGCAATCTCTGAAAAGCCTCTATGAAAGACTTAAGAGTCTGGATCTCCGTCAAAATGATGCCTGCCTATACCAACAAATCTCTGCTACCATAATGGCAAATTTATCGGACATTGGAGGACAGGAATCTGATCTTTTTCAGAACGCATCTGGGAAAAACACTGATTGAACATATGGACTTCTTTTAATGTTAGACAGCTTGCAACTTTTGGTAGCTTTATATTCGATTTTATTCTTCTCCCTCTTTCTCTTTATATATA